TTTAGTTGTGTGATTGTCAGGAGAACGATTTTTCGACAGTGTGATGTGATTATTTTCAGGCAAATTTACAGGATAAATTTGGATAAATAAAGCACACGTTCAAAGTCCTGCCTTAGAGAATGTCAAACTAAATGACTCACTCAAGAAATAAAGTGGTTCTATTGAAAGACTAATTGACTCACTCAAGAAATAAACTGGTTCTATTGAAAGACTAATTGACTCACTCAAGAAATAAACTGGTTCTACTGAAAGACTAAATGACTCAATCAAGAAATAAACTGGTTCTACTGAAAGACTAAATGACTCACTCAAGAAATAAACTGGTTCTACTGAAAGACTAAATGACTCGCTCAAGAAATAAACTGGTTCTATTGAAAGACTAAATGATTCACTCAAGAAATAAACTGGTTCTACTGAAAGACTAAATGACTCACTCAAGAAATAAACTGGTTCTACTGAAAGACTAAATGATTCACTCAAGAAATACGTCTTTCAGTAATGCTAGTGTATTTCTTGAGTGAGTCATTTCGTCTTTCAGTAATGCTAGTGTATTTCTTGAGTGAGTCATTTCGTCTTTCAGTAATGCTAGTGTATTTCTTGAGTGAGTCATTTAGTCTTTCAGTAGAACCAGTTCGTACCTAATTCTGTATATACGTTAAATAGTGTCCCATATATTTGGTACAACTGTGTAGTACCTAATTCTGTATATACGTTAACTAGTGTCCCATATATATTGTACATAAATATATTAATTAGTGTGTTACCTAACAACTAGAGAAGTGATAAATCTGTTTTGATTTCTGGATGATATTATATATGGATCATAAGATATTAACGTTTTTATAAATATGAAACTCACTTTTGTTTTATAAAGACAGCGATGTTTAGTGTATTGACCTTCATAGACATGGTTAGTTAAAGGTCATGTCGTTCTCCAGCTTTCCACGTCTTATGAACTCTAGTTTGCGTTCACCTTGTTCTTTATTTTCGTTCTTCGTATTTCCGGAAAGTTTCTACATGTATGTGGGTTATCGGATCGTTCCTTCTTCAAGTCTACTACTGCATGTGCATATAATACCCATACACGGTTACCCGAGGCTCGACAAGTCGAACAAGTAGGACTAAGGAAGCCAGTGGCCTGGGCCTGTAGAAATGTCTCGTCTGTGCCAGTCAGGTGAACGGTTTCTAGGTTGATATTGATGTTCCCATTTCCCGCTAGAGGCCAGCTAAAGTACCATTTTGTCAGAACTGATTATCGTGTGGAGAAGTTTCACACTAAGTAGAAGTAAAGTGTGCGAAGGAAGATTTGGAATTACCAAACTGTGTTTTTTAGTGTTATCTATAACTAACTATACAATCAACATGTTTGACGAGCTGGACGAGAAATTCAAGCAGCTTTGTCATCGTCCGAAACTGGCATAGAACCCAGATAATCCGGTGTATTAACTAACTTAGCTCGGTTTCGTTGGAGCAGTTTAAACCTTTGGATTTTTAGTAGCTGAGAGGAGTTTATCATGATGACTTGGAATGTTTGGGTAAGTAATAGACTGAATTTTATCAAATATTCGTAATATGATTTAGTATTTTTATATTTCTCAATTACAAGGTATATATGATATCAAGGAACGTGCTGTTTCCCACACCACTGACGTAGTTTTACTGCCCACGCACTACATACAACAAACACGGCAGTGGTCGGAACTCTTTATATAAGCCGACCTGAAGAGCTCAGGATTGAACGAAATGTGGCATCGACAATGGATATAACAAATATAGTGTGGTTAGACAGCTGTTATTATACAATCCTGTAATTCTTGAAAATCCCCAAAGGTCTAGGTTAAGAATGTAATGTTAAAATGAATGTAATAGGCCTAACACTGATGTCTTATGACAAGTATAATTGTAATTATTCTTCGTCGACTTTTAAACGTCGTGTATACAGTTTCAGTAACACCAATTAATTTATTTCGTGAGTCATTTCGTCTTCCAGTAGCACTGTTTATTTCTTAAGTGAGTCATTTAGTCTTTCAGTAGAACCAGTTTATTTCTCGCGTGAGTCATTTAACACAGTTGTACCATATATATGGGACACTATTTAACGTATATACAGAATTAGGTACTACACAGTTGTACCATATATATGGGACACTATTTAACGTATATACAGAATTAGGTACTACACAGTTGTACCATATATATGGGACACTATTTAACG